TACGGATATTTATGAATATTATTATTTAATTTTTAAAGATATATAATTAATTAAATATTTTTTTATTTCTTTAAAGATTTTTTTTTAATTTAACACATAATAACAATAATAATAAAATAAGTCACATTCATTTATTTTTTCTTTTATCAAATGATTATAGTAGATTCAACAAAATAATAATAATAATAATAATAATAATAATAATAATATAATAATAATAATAATAATAATAATAATATAATAATAATAATAATAATAATAATAATAATAATAATAATAATAATAATAATAATAATAATAATAATAATAATAATAATAATAATAATAATAATAATAATAATAATAATAATAATAATATAATAATAATAATAATAATAATAATAATAATAATAATAATAATAATAATAATAATAATAATAATAATAATAATAATAATAATAATAATAATAATAATAATAATAATAATAATAATATAATAATAATAATAATAATAATAATAATAATAATAATAATAATAATAATAATAATAATAATAATAATAATAATAATAATAATAATAATAATAATAATAATAATAATAATAATAATAATAATAATAATAATAATAATAATAATAATAATAATAATAATAATAATAATAATAATAATAATATAATAATAATAATAATAATAATAATAATAATAATAATAATAATAATAATAATAATAATAATAATAATAATAATAATAATAATAATAATAATAATAATAATAATATAATAATAATAATAATAATAATAATAATAATAATAATAATAATAATAATAATAATAATAATAATAATAATAATAATAATAATAATATAATAATAATAATAATAATAATAATAATATTAATAATAATAATAATAATAATAATAATAATAATAATAATAATAATAATAATAATAATAATAATAATAATAATAATAATATTAATAATAATAATAATAATAATAATAATAATAATAATAATAATAATAATAATAATAATAATAATAATAATAATAATAATAATAATAATAATAATAATAATAATAATAATAATAATAATAATAATAATAATAATAATTTTAGATCAAACAAGTAATTTGCTAATTGTTAACCGATACAAATACAGATACAAGCGGGTACATATCAACCATTACCACCTTTGATGCACGAGTAGTCCCTTTTTGAACTTGTGAGACTCAATGCAAAGGAAATATGTGCTGATGCGGTAAAGCGGCAAACAAAAGTAATTATTTTTATAAGGGTGATATAGGTTATATCATATCGTCTCCATAGGGATTAGTTAGAGAGAAAAATTAATATTCAACATTTTCAATCCTTCTAAGTTTGAAAAAAGGTTTGCGGAAAAAATGCAGGAAAAGTAAATAGAGCAATAAAGAAAGCGATAAACAATTATTTGTAGCCTAAGAGAATTCATCCTGGAATCGCATTTCACTCTACCCGTCAAATACTTAAACTTGATGATCAATTCCACGCAACTAACAATACGCATCAAAATCATCGGGCATCGTTCTAAGGTGCCACAATAGAGGTTATGTCTAACACAAAGTTGAACTGCATTGCTCGCGTCGACGATCTCTCAGCGCAACACAAACAACACAAAGGCATTAAGCTTTGATATCCACAGTGACTATTAGCCCTAAATCTATCTCTAACATCTAGAAACTAATAGATATCATTCCCTAACCAAGATTCAAGAAGTCTATCTCTAGAATTTCCCAAATCCCAAGCATAAATGCAAAAAGATCAAGGAACAATATCAATCAAGATTTGTAAAGCAAGCATATATACAATCACATGATCAACAAATGTACATACAATAAGAGTAAAATATATATACAAATCCCACTATTGGAATGATACATAAGGAAGAAGGAGATGAATATGAAATTTCTCGCGGTGTCAACATGATCCGAGATAACCCATAGCTAATCAACAAGATGCACCGTCCAATGTTGTTGGGTAAACCTCTAAACTATAAAGAATTGGATCAGGGCTCCTCAAAAAGGGAAAGAGATGATAAAACCTAACAAAATCTGTTTTAGATCTATATATACAAATCTAGTTTATGCAGACCGCACTAAGCGCCAAAGACCCGCGCTAAGCAAGCCTTCATTTATTCACTAAACCACCTTAGAGCGCGCTAAGTTCCAAATATCACGCTAAGTGTGCTCGCCTACTCCTTACTCCAGAACCCGTGTTGAAAGCGCGCTAAGCGCGACCTGAAATAACTTTATTTCTTGAATTTGTCCAAAAATTCCTATCTGGAGCCGTGCCTTCGACACGTTATTTCTCGATGCTCAAAATACGCAAAAATACCTATAAAAAGACATTAAATCTATCAAACGATACATAAATGAATAAAAAACATAATAATACGCAAAGTATACATATTTAAACACAAAGCGGGGAATTATTCAAAAAACATTAACAAAAGAACCGATAAGTGTCACAAATTATATACATAAAATAACGATATTTTGGAACTTACCAACTATACCCAACTTGAACTTTTTTGTCCTCAAACAAGGTTGTAATACGGTGGGAGAACTGACTTTGGATTTTGTGTTTTATCGCAAATGTTGCGGATAGCAAGACTCGCCACCGACTTTTCTTTTATCCAATAAAGGAAAGGGTGAAAAGAACAAGAAAGAACTTTTGAGATTTTTCTAGGTAACGGGGGTAGGTTATGAAAAGGGAAGGTGTTATCACCTTTTTCATCTGTAGTTTTCTACGGGCTATTAATCGCTGGCTCACTTTGAAATGCTTTGTGTTTGTGTATGTTTGAAGATATTTTGAAAACGTCTAAGTACATAAATTTTGTAATGATTCTCGTATCGTTGAGAATGCATACAAAATGTTTGTTTTGAAAATATTTGTTGAAAGGAAATGTTGTTTTTTGAAAGTGTTTTGAAGATGCCAAAGGCAATTTGCTTTATAATAACCCTTGTATTAGTCCTCAATAGTGTTTATAAAGTGTTTTGAAAGTGAAAGGTGTTAAGATTGTTTTTAGTTTGTGAGCAAGAGATTACGAGCGATCTACCTACTCAAAAAATCTTTGTTCTTTTCCTCCTCTTTTAGATAGTGCTATCCTACCATTAGTTAGTAAGAAGCCCTATCATTGGATGTGAGGGACAGGCGTGGGTCATCATACAATCATAGAAGGTAACTTGTAAGATATTTTAGCAATTGTTGTAATGGACTAAGATCGTTTACCGAAGGTAACATCGAAGGATCATCGAGGGACTACAATTTTTTAATCGAGGGTCTTTGCTAAAGCATCTCATGTTCGTAGGACATGACTGTTTATATCTGAGGCAACAAGTGAGGGTCACCCTAGAGGTGCGTGTGTGCAAAGTGTTTTGTTTTCAATTATTTGTCTTGAGATTAGGTTTTCTAACATTTGTTTTTATGTATTTGCCATACAATCATATTAGACTAACAGTAATTAGGAAAGCAGTAAATTGTGGAAATTAAATGTTCTACGCCATTACAAGGCTTCGGGGATGGGAAGTACAAATTTATGAATGGGGAAGGAAAGCAATAAACCCTAATTTATCTATTACAAGTGTTGAGCAATTATAATAATTGGGAAATAAAGGCGAAATATGAAATGCACGAAGATGGTAAGAAGGGGAGAATGTTTAAGAAACCCTAAAAATATCGCTAAGTGTTAAGCAAAGATTTTCATTGTTTTTGTTTAGAAAATATTTGAAATGTGAAATAAAAAGTTATACCTAATTCTAATTTTATATACAAATTAATTTTTTAAAATAAAACAAAGTGTAATTAATTAATTTTATTTATGAAAATAAAATTAATTAAGTAAAACCTAAAGAAATCTGAATATTTTAGAAAATATTTGGTGTTTTATTTAGAAAAAGTTTTATAGTGTTAGGTCATCTCCCAGCAATGCAAAATATCCAATGTACCCTTAATGATCCAAAACTAACAACAAAAATTTCAAAAAAAGATTAGGATTTCTGGCGCCTAGGCTGACACGGGCCGTGTCAAAATCTGTTTATTGCCTTTTACACATTTTTAGTCCCAACTGAGTTGACACGGGCCGTGTCGTGTGACACAAGCGCCCGTGTCAGAATCTGTTTTGCCTCCTTTCCAAGT